GCGTCTGCACTCCGACAGAGGTGGAGAGTTTTCCTCCGACCTTCTGCGAGCCTTCTGTCGTGCGGAGGGCATCCGCTAGACGTTCACACTTCCGGCCTCTCCGCAGCAAAATGGGATTGCTGAGCGCCGCATTGGCATGGTCATGGATGTCGCTCGTACGTCCTTGATCCATGCGGCTGCTCCCAATTTTCTGTGGCCGTTCGCGGTTCAGTACGCGGCGCATCAGCTCAACCTCTAGCCCCGGGTCTCCATGCCGGAGACCACACCTACTCTGCGGTGGACGGGGACGGTTGGTGATGCGTCTGCGTTCCGTGTCTGGGGATCTCGAGCTTTCGTCCGCGACTTGTCTGCGGACAAGCTATCCTCCCGTGCTGTTCCCTGCGTCTTCCTTGGCTTCCCCCCTGACGCGCCTGGTTGGCAGTTTTACCACCCCACCTCGCGCCGTGTTCTGTCCTCTACCGTCTCTTCCCCTACCACACTGCCCCCCTCCCCCCCCCCGCCGCTTTTCCTCGTGCCAGGTCCTCCCCCGGTAGACCCCCTACCCCCTCAGGGTCCTGCCCCCTCAGGTGTGTCCCAGGTAGACGCAGTCGAGCCTGTCGAGATAGCTGTTGACTCTGGTGCTGCTAGGAGTACTGAGCCTGTGGGTGCTGGGTCTGGGGGTGCTGAGCCTGTACGTTTGACGAGTCGGTTCCTTACTACCGTCTCTTCCCCTACCGCACTGCCCCCCTCCCCCCCCCCGCCGCTCTTCCTCGCGCCAGGTCCTCCCCCGGTAGACCCCCTACCCCCTCAGGGTCCTGCCCCCTCAGGTGTGTCCCAGGTAGACGCAGTCGAGCCTGTCGAGGTAAGGGGGGAACATGAGCATGGGCTGGATTGGTGCCACCAGGGTAAGAAGGAGAAGGGATCAAACTTCGAAGGAAGAGAGGGGTACACGGGAAGGCAAGAAGGGCGTCGGAAACCTGGTGCAGGAGTAAGGGAGAAGCAGGACCTAAGCGGACAGAGGAAGAGAGGTGACAAGCAGCACATGCGACGGGAGGAGATGCACGAGTATGAAGCAGAGAGCGGGGAAGAGGAAGAGAGTGATAGGCGGGCACGCCATGGAGCGGGACAAAGGGAAGAATGCTGGGAAGAATATTTCACTGGAAGGAGAGAGGGGCAGAGGAGAAGGCAGGAAGAACGGAGAGAGTTTCCTGAGAGAGAGGACCGGCAGCAGCGGGAAAGGAGGAAGCGAGAAAGGCAATTTCAGGAATATTCGCCTGAGAGGAGGGAAAGGCGATGGGGGGAAGCAGGCGGGGAAAGAGAGGCTTACGAGGAGGAGCGGAGAAGGAGTCCGAGTCCGAGAGGCCTTAGGAGGCCACGGCTGGCAGGAAAAGGATCCAGCGAAGCCAGAGTTGCTAGAGAAGGAATATACAGGGTCTTGTATGGAACAAGCACAGGCAGCAGGGGAATGAGGGAGCACAGAGGAGAAGTCAGCCGCGCAGAGCGAGGAGCAACGGGAACCTGGGACTCAGGGAGATGGGGCACGCGGGCGCCACCACAAGTAGAGGTGCCTGTGCGCTTTACGGGGAATGAAGGGACAAGCACTACCCGGAAGAATTATCTGATGCAGATTGGGAATGTCAAGTACAGGTGTGATCGGAGTGGGATGGACCCCATCGACTTCTTTTTGAAGCCCAGGAGGAGTCGCTGAAGCCAGAGAGAAGGGGAGGGGAGGATCCACCCAATGTGAGGGCGTGATCCTTGGTGCCACGGAGATAGCGGAGGACCCGCTTGGCGGCAGCCCAGTGGTCCTCAGTGTGGCGGCCGGAGCCGACGAACCGAGCAAGGACGCTGATGGGGTAGGCGAGGTCGGGACGAGTGCACATCATCGCGTACATCAGCGACCCAACAAGCTCGGCATAGGGCCGGGAGGAGGTGGAGGGGGAGGTGGGTGGCGCAAGCTGGTGACCGAAGGGGAGGGGGGTGGAGACCGGTTTGGCCTGCGCCATCTCGAACTTCTCCAGGACCTGGCCGATGTAGTGGGACTGGGAGAGGGTGATGGTGCGGGCGGATCGATCACGAGTGATAGCCATGCCGAGGTAGTTCTGCAGCGGACCAAGGTCCTTGCACTTGAGACGTTCCTGAAGTGACCGCTTTACTTGCTCCATGTCGGCCTTGGTGTCAGCGAGCAGGATCATGTCGTCAACGTAGACCGAGATGAAGAAGCGACGGGGGAAGAGCAGATGAAGAGGCTGGCATCGGAGTGGGAGGCGGAGAAACCAAGGGACTGGAGAGTGGCAGACAGCTTCGCATGCCATTTTCGTGGTGCCTGTTTCAGGCCGTAAACAGGTCGCCGAAGTTGCCAGACGGTGTTGTCAGGGAAAGCAGCATGAAACCCGGGAGGCCGGCGGAGGAAGATACGCTCGTGCAGTTCGCCTTGCAGGAACGCGTTGGAGACGTCCATGGAGTCAATCTCCATGTCGTCACGCGCACCAATATCCATAAGGGTGCGTAGGGTGGCCTGCTTGACAGTGGGGGCAAATGTGAACCAGTAGTCTTCAGCCCAGGTCTGGGTGAACCCCTTGGCAACGTAGCGGGCTTTGTAGACTGGTTCTTCTCCCGGCAGCTGCTTGACTCGAAAGATCCACTTGCCCTCGACAAGGTTGGCGTCAGGGGGGAGGGGAACGTCGATGAAGGAGTCGTTGCGGATAAATGCCTCACATTCCAGGAAGATGGCGGCTATCCACTTGTCAGCGTCAGGGCAGGTGATAGCCTCCTGGAAGGTGGAGGGGACGAAGATGGTGGGAGCGGAGATCGCGCTAAGGATTAGAGCGCCGAGGAGGCCAGGGTAGAGCGTGGTGAGAGAGGGAGTGTGGCGCTGGACCATGGCGAACTCCTCATGGGAATCCTCGAGCTGGTTGAGGGAGGGAGGTGGCGGTGTGCCAAGGATGGGATCAAGGGAGCGGGTGTGCATGCGAGGGAGGAGGAAGGGTGAGGAGCGGGCAATTGCCCTCTGCCGCTGCTGCTGCTGGTGCTGCTGGAACCCCTGCTGCTGCTGCGGCTGCTGCTCCTCCCGATGCTGCTGCCCCTGCTGCTGCTGCTGCCCCTGCTGCTGCTGCTGCTGCTGCTGCTGCTGCTGTTGCTGCTGTTGCTGCTGCTGCTGTTGGGACGGAAGAGAAGGAGAGGGGGGAGGGGAGGAGGGAGGGGGGGCCACGGAGTGTGCAGGGGATGCAGGAGCAGTGGGATCGTAGATGTCGGCAGATGAAGGTGGCGGAAGCGGAGTAGGGAGAGGTGGGAGAAGGGGTGCAGGGGGGAGGAGGGGAGGGAGCACAGTGTCGGTCCAGGTGAGAGGACGTGTAGGAAGAGGGAGGGTGTCTGGTGGTGAAGAGGAGTAATAGGGGGTGGTTTCGTCAAAGACGACGTCAATGCTGCGGATAAGGCGTCCAGAGGGAGGGTGAAGGAAGAGGTAGCCAGGCGAGTCGCGGTTGTGCCCGAGGTAGACACACTCGAGGGCGCGAGAAGCGAGCTTGCCGTGGGTGCGATCGGGTGGAGGGATAAGTACATATGCCTTGCAACCCCAGACACGGAGACCAGCAGCGTCAGGTTTGGTGCCTGACCAGAGTTCCGTGGGGGTGGTGGTAGTATGTTGAGGATGGGAGTGAAGGTTGAGGAGGAGGGCAGCATGGAGCAGAGCATAGCCCCAAAGGGAAGGAGGGGTGGAGGCGTGAGCGAGGAGACAGCGAGCAATCTTGGTGATTTCGCGAATCCTGCTTTCTGCGACACCATTCTGCTGCGGGGAGTGGGGAAGGGTGTGAGTCTGTTGGATGCCATGGGTGGTGCAGTAGTGGGAGAGAGTGCGATTGAGGAATTCGCCTCCCCCATCAGAGTGTAGGCGGCCGACGGGACGCTTGAAGTGGGCGCGGCATTGCTCTGCCCAGTTGATGATCATGGTCGGCGCCTGGTCTTTCGTGTGGAGGAGGAAAATGGAGGAGTAGCGGCTGTGGTCGTCTACTAGGACCAGCATGTAGCGATGGCCCTGACGGGAACGAGTGGGGGAGGGTCCCCAGAGGTCCATATGGACTAGGTCAATTGGAGCGGGAGCAAAGGATGGGTGGCTGTGGTGGGGAGACTGTTTGAGTTTGCCATGGATGCAGGAGGGGCATGGAGGGGCTGGAGAGGAAGGGAGGGGAGGAAGAGTGGGAGGGAGGCTGTGAAGGAGGCGAGAGGTGATGGCAGTGCGGAGAGCGGCGAAATTGGGGTGGCCGAGTCGGTGATGTAGCAGTACAGCGGGGTGGGAGAGATGATCGGAGGTGGAGGGGGTTGGAGTGAGGGAGGGTGAGAGAGGGGGAGGTGACTGCTGTTGCTGCTGTTGCGGCTGCCCCTGCTGCGGCGGCTGCAGTTGCTGCTGCTGCTGCGGCCCCTGCTGCTGCCCTTGCTGTGGCGGCTGCTGTTGCTGTCGCGGAGGTGAGGTAGGGGGATGGGGAGGGTTAGTGGAGGTGCCAGCACGAGTGGTGACATGGCAGAAGGATGGCCAAGGGGTGCGGAGAGTGTAGAGGCGAGTGCGGGGGCAGAGGGGAATGCGTAGAAGGAAGCGACCGGTGGCGGTGTGGTAGAGGTCACAGTAGGTGGCATTACCTGGATAGACGGCAGTGATACCTGCATTTTGGATTTCACGGTGGGAGAGGAGGTTGTTACGGAGGGTGGGGATGTGGAGACCAGTTACCTTACCAGAGGGGAAGAGTGTGCAGGGGAGAGTGGAGAGGTGTGTGCATGGGATGGTAAAGCTGCTGTGAGCGCCGTGAACCTGAGTGGGAGGAGAGAGGGGTGTGAGTGTACCAGCATCCTTGAGAGCGGTCTCAGTGGCCCCACTATCGAGGACGAAGTCCAGAGTGGGTGAGGAGGAGGAAGAGACTGAGTACTGGAAAGTGGTTTCATTAATGTTGGATGGGTACATGGAAGGAAGAGAGGGTGAGATAGTAATGTTGCCAAGAAAGCTGTCCTGGGAAAGAGGAGTGGCAGTGCTACTAAGGGGAGGTGGAGTACCCCAAAGGGGGGCCGGTGAGGCCTGAGCGGCTATGGCTGCTGTGCCAAAATTCAGTTGTTGCTGCTGCCAAGGAGGAGGGTTGGGTCCCCACTGGGGCTGGAGTCCAGTTCCCCATGGGTGCTGCTGCGGGTGCGGCTGCTGTGGCTGCTGCTGAAACAGCTGTTGCAGTTGCTGCTGCTGCTGCTGCTGCTGCTGCTGCTGCTGCTGCTGCTGTTGCTGCTGCTGCTGCTGCTGCTGCAAGAGATGCTGCTGCTGAAGATTGAGGAAAGGTGTGGGAGGAGCAAGGAGGCGGAGGTGGGCAGGGAGGTAAGCGGGGTTGGTTTGGATGTCGGCAAGAGAGGGACGTGGGGAAATCGTGCCCCACTTTGGAGGAGTGCCAACGTTACCTCGTGCGTACCAGGCATCGTCGAGAGCCTTGAAGCAAGTGCCAGGGGGATGGTTGGTCTGCCCGCAGGGTGTTCCAGCCCGGGGACCATAGCGGCGGACATAAGTGCAGGGAGGAAGAGTGCCAGGACGATTCCCGCGGCTCGCAGAGGCTCCGCCTGAATTGGTGGTGCCCTGCTCATCCCCTGTGGTGCCACCACGGCTGCTTGCGCTGCTGCTTCCTTGACCGCCACCTCCCTTGCCCCCACCTCCTCCTTTGCCGTTGTTCTTGCTCTGCTTGCGGGGCTGGGTAGCGTTGAGGGAGGAGGAGGAGGGTTGGGAGGAGGCGAGGTTGACAATGGGAGTGCGGAGTTTGACTTCAGTATCAATGATCCACTGTTCAACGGAGGCGAGATCAGCCATGGGATTGGCTTCGGTAAAGGCGTGAAGGCGGGATTCATAGTCTGGGGTGAGGTTAAAAAGGAGGCGGTGGATTTGGAGGGGTTCGGAGAGGCCGGCTTGGCGGGCTTCGAGGCGATCAGCTACCTCTCTCATGCGTCCGACATAGTCAACCGCTCCGTCACAGGTGGCGAGGCTGATTGAAAAGTATTCTTGAAAAAGGATGCCGACGGAACTGATGTCGCGGCGCTCAAACATGGCATGGAGTTCTGCCCAGATGACCGAGGCACGGAGTTCCCGAGCCTGGAAGCGGCGCATGAGGGAGTCAGGGAGAGCACCAAGGAGAACGGTGCAGGCGCGGGTGTCAGCAGCTGTCCAGGCGATAAGTTTTGGGGTGAAGGCAGCCATGTCGTCTTTGTATTTGGCGACGATGGCGAGGTGAGCATTGCGGCCAGCAACCGCCTGGTCATAGGCATCAACTGCTGCATCGTACTCGGCTTTGCGGATAAGGTATGCACGGCGGCGTAAGATGAAATCTGCATCAGCGGTGGCTTGGTCGGTGGTGAGCTGGAGGTCGGGTTCAAGAGGGGATCGCCAGGAGAGGGAGGGAGAGGAGGAGTCTCGCCGGGGTGATCAGGTTCGGTGGGGGGGAGGGCATGGGGACGGCGGAGGATGACGTCAAGGACGCGGTAGGGGGGAACCCATGCGTCGGAGAGGACCCGTCGGATGCTGCCGACGAATGAGTGCCAGTTGACGGCGGATTTGTCCGCTGCGAGCTGCAGTTTATCGATGGAGGAGGGATCAATAGGAGGAGGGAGGGGGGAGGGGGAGGGTGTGGCGTTAGCCATGATGGACGGCTGCGGGTGGACCCGCAGTGGTCACGGAGGAGAGCGGCGCTGGCGGCAGCGGCTGGCGAGGCCGCGGCGGCGTTGGCGCGGAGGCGGCGTCGAGGCCGCGGAGGGGAGTGGCGCGGGCGGCAGCGGCTGGCGAGGCCGCGGCTGCACTGGCGCGGAGGCGGCGTCGAGGCCGCGGAGGGGAGCAGCGCGGGCGGCAGCGGCTGGCGAGGCCGCGGCTGCGCTGGCGCGGAGGCGGCGTCGAGGCCGCGGAGTGGCGCGGGTGGCGGCGGCTGGCGAGGCCGCGGCGAGGCGGGCGCGGAGGCGGCGTCGGGGCCGCGGAGGGGAGCGGCGCGGGCGGCGGCGGCTGGCGAGGCCGCGGCTAGGCGGGCGCGGAGGCGGCGTCGGGGCCGCGGAGGGGAGCGGCGCGGGCGGCAGGCGGCTGGCGAGGCCACAGCTGCGCTAGCGCGGAGGCGGCGTCGAGGTCGCGGAGTGGCGCGGGCGGCGGCGGCTGGCGAGTCCGCGGCGAGGCGGGCGCGGAGGCGGCGTCGGGGCCGCGGAGGGGAGCGGCGCGGGCGGAAGGCGGCTGGCGAGGCCGCGGCTGTGCTGGCGCGGAGGCGGCGACGAGGCCGCGGAGGGGAGCGGCGCGGGCGGCGGCGGCTGGCGAGGTCACGGCTGCTCTGGCGCGGAGGCGGCGTCGAGGCCGCGAAGTGGCGCGGGCGGCGGCGGCTGGCGAGGCCGCGGCGAGGCGGGCGCGGAGGCGGCGTCGGGGCCGCGGAGAGAAGCGGCGCGGGCGGCAGCGGCTGGCGAGGCCGTGGCGAAGCGGGCGCGAAGGCGGCGACAAGGCAGCGGAAGGGAGCGGCGCGGGCCGCAGCGGCTAGGGAGGCCGCGGAGCTGTGGAGGGAAAGGGCGCTAAAGGGGGGGGAGGGCAGCAGGATAGCCGCGAGGAAAAAAAAATGAGGGAGGAGGCCGGGGGTTGCGGCGGCCGGGTGGGCCTTTGAAACGAGTGGGGTAGGCCTAGGATTGATAGCTCTATACCATGTGAGAGAAGGAGTTAGGAATGAAGTTGATAACTTGATTGAGAATCATGGGGGTATACATACTAATGGGGTTGGATGCTAACCTAAGGTGACATTATTGTACCCCAACCAAGAAGTTGGGTTGGGAGATTATTGGTGGGGTCCAATAATGTTGGCCAAGTTGGGGTTGGGCCAACATTATTGGAGGGGGCCAATAATTCTACCCAACCCAACCTTTTGGGGTCCAATAATTGGACCAAGGTTGGGTTCCAACCTACAAACTGGGTTACCCCTGTTTGTACACCCAAACTAAGTTTGGGTGGTTAACTCTAGCCTGTCCTATAGCATATATGCAGGTTACAAGAGGAGAGGGATTCTAACACTGGGCGGCAGCAATGACACCAGGGGCGGGAGGCGGAGAGGAGCAGCAACATGAGAGAAGGACAGACATGAGAACCTGCTACAGGTGTGGACAGCCGGGACATGTGAAGTTGAATTGCAAGAACTGCGACGTGTGTGGGAAACCAGGGCACCGCCATCAGAACTGCCCTGACGCGCCAACCTGTGGGGTGTGTGGAAAGAGGGGGCATCAGCAGAAAGACTGTTATCAGAGGATTGGGGGAGCGAGGAGGTCACAAGAGGAGATAGAAACTCAGATACGAAGGCTGCGGGCTCAGATGCAGGCTTTGGGAGGCAAGACAGAGGAAGAAGCAGGACTGTACGCGAGGGAAGAGGAAGAGGAGGAAGAAGAGCAGGAGCCAGAGTACTCCTGTGCGGTGCTGCATCGCCATGAAGATATGGGGTGGCGCAGTGGGGGCAGGGACGGTAGAAGGAAGCAAGTGAGTAGGGTGGGGGCATGGGTGTGTGTGCAAGTAGCACCAGATTTGGTAGGGAAGAACGAGAAGGTGGGGGCATGGGCGGATGAACCAGAAGCGGCAGGCACGGAAGGGAAGGACGAGGAGGTGGGAGCAAGGGCAGCAGCAGAAGGGGAAGAGAAGGACGAGAAGAAGGGGGCAGGGGCGTGTGGACTGGTAGCAGCCGGCGCGGAAGGGAAGAACGAGCAGGTGGGGGCGGGAGCGTGTGTAACAGCAGCAGCGAAGGTAGAGAAAAAGGAAGTGCAGGTGGGGGCGGGAGCGTATGTAACAGCATCAGCGAAGGTAGAGAAAAAGGAAGTGCAGGTGGGGGCGGGAGCGTATGTAACAGCAGCAGCGAAGGTAGAGAAAAAGGAAGTGCAGGTGGGGGCGGGAGCGTGTGTAACAGCAGCAGCGAAGGCAGAGAAAAAGGAAGTGCAGGTGGGGGCGGGAGCGTGTGTAACAGCAGCAGCGAAGGTAGAGAAAAAGGAAGTGCAGGTGGGGGCGGGAGCGTGTGTAACAGCAGCAGCGAAGGTAGAGAAAAGGGAAGAGCAGGTGGGGGCGGGAGCGTGTGTAACAGCAGCAGCAAAGGTAGAGAAAAAGGAAGAGCAGGTGGGGGCGGGAGCGTGTGTAACAGCAGCAGCGAAGGTAGAGAAAAAGGAAGTGCAGGTGGGGGCGGGAGCGTGTGTACCAGCAGTAGCAGAGGCGGAAGGGAAGGACGAGAAGGTGGGGGCACGGCCGTGTGTACTAAAGCCAGAGAAGCAAGTGCAGGGAAGTAGGATGGCGAAGCAGCATGTGCGGAAGCTGAGGAAAGAACCTCCACAGATGCTGGGGGCGAAAATGGTGAAAGAAGCCGTGAGAGGAGCTGAGACAGGTGTGAGCAGCATGAAAGTGGAGATGGCGTGCGACTGGGGGCAAGGAGACCTACGGGTAGGAGGATGGGAAGGTCCAGTGTGGGCCAAAGCTCAGGAGCGGGAGGAAGCAGAGAGGGAGAACAAGGAGGTGGGGACATGGGAGTGCCTGCCTGCAGGGGAAGAAGTAGGGCACACAACGGGAGATGTGATGAGTCCGGAAGGAAAAGAGGCCGTGAAGACAGTAAGGTGGAGTAAGCGAGGAATATGGGAAGCTGAGGCGATGCAGCCAGCAACACAGGTGCTGCCAGGACCAGCGGGAATGAAAGGGGCTGAGAACTGGGTGGCATGGGAGGGAGCCAAGGCAGCAGAATACCTGGACGAGGAGAAAACAGCAGCGGCGGAGGTCATGCGTACAATAGAGTTGCGAAATGCACACGTACAGGCACAAGCAGAGACTGCAGCAGGGCGACAAAAACGACAGCTACGCCAGCGGAAGCGAGACAGGAAGCCTACCTGCAGAGGGGGATACTCGGAAAGTGGTACTGGACACACAGCGAAGGGAGACGAAGGACCTGAGGCGTCCAAGAGTGCTGGTGCTGAGGAATCAGAGAAGAGAGTAGACAGGGTACCATCTGACGAATGCTGCAGTGGTGAAAAGCCACCGGCCTCAGCGAGAGTGTCCAGTGACACGTGCACGGGAGACCCGAGCACGAGCTCTGGAGGGGGCAGGTAGTGGCTGAGGCAGAGCAGGTAAGGTATCACAGGAACAGAGCTCAGAAGAAGAAGGGAGCGAGGGTGAGTCCGGGAAGGAGAAGGCAAGCCACGGGAAGCAACAGAGGATGAATCTCCGACAGCTGTCACCGAATAGATTGTTGTTTGCAATATATTCTGTTACTTGCTAGTGTAGGTGTAGTAGGGTTAATCGAAGTACTGTAGAAGGTGAGTTTGGTGCGTGGGTAGTGACGCGAAGTTGGTGACCAAGGGACTTGCGAGGCGCAGGGTGGGACAAATTCAAGGGCGAGCCCTGGGCAATCCGAAGGGCCAATCTGAAGCCTAGCGGGCGGAGCCCAATGTGACTTACGGGAAACTGCACGGCACGGGGTAGAGACTCAAATAGGCTAGGAACTCACTGCTTAGTTCGTTCTCTTGTTTGTTTGCTCGTAATAGTGGATATAGGTTGCCGTTTGATAGCTAACTCCAGCTTAGGCGACTAAGCCACTGTGGGCAGCCATACGTGGGGGAGGCAGAATCTCTCAAGGTAGTGGCTGAGGCAGAGCAGGTAAGGTATCACAGGAACAGAGCTCAGAAGAAGAAGGGAGCGAGGGTGAGTCCGGGAAGGAGAAGGCAAGCCACGGGAAGCAACAGAGGATGAATCTCCGACAGCAGCGGCACCTCTTTCTCTGACCTAAGCGCTCAAGTTAGCAGATAACAGCTATCAAGGCCTCGCCTGCCGCATGTTACCAAGGAACCCCCCGTGGTGTTGCACTGAACGAGCCGGCCAAGCGCATCAGCCTGCAGCAGCAGCAGCAGCAACCCTTTCTCTAAGGACTTACAGTAGCAATAGCACCCGCACACCTAACGCATGTTACCAAGGAACCCTGTGGTGTTGTATTGAACCAGCCGCCCAATCGCATCAGTCTGCAACAGCAGCAGCAGCAGCACTTTCTCTAAGGACTCGTGACAGCAGTAGCACTTGCTTACCTGCCGCATGTTACCAAGGAACCCCGTGGTGTTGTACTGAACCAGCCGCCCAATCTCATCAGCCTGCTTTAGCAGCGCCGCTCGGTTCGCCTCGAAGCGCTTCTCCCCCTTGCGCCGGTGCTGCTGCCGCCGCACGCGGAACACTGCCTGAATGTCCTGCATCTGATACCCTCTGGAGGGTAGGTGCCCTGGAAACTGTGCATTCGCCCAGCCCTCCTGAAGAGACGGGGTGGGGAAGGGGATGGGTGCAGTGGGTGGGTGGGTAGTGAGGAAGCATGGGGAGCACAGGAACACTGCCTGAATGTCCTGCATCTGATACCCTCTGGAGGGTAGGTGCCCTGGAAACTGTGCATTCGCCCAGCCCTCCTGAAGAGACGGGGTGGGGAAGGGGATGGGTGTTGTAATTTCATATTTCATACAACATACATAGGCTAGAAGTGTAGCACATTTATAATTTGGGGGGTTGCTTAGTGTACCCTCCAACCACATTTTGTGGTTGGTTGGGATTGGTCCTTAGCTCAACCAATCCCAACCAACACACATTTGTGGTTGCTTGGGTCACAAGCAAGCTCACCCATTGGCCAACTTATTGGCCAATAGGGTAAGCTTCCCTCTCATCTCTCTCTTGCTCATTGTTTGTACTAAAGAGCCTCTTGGCTCATTATTCAATGTATCAATTCTCTCTCTTCTAACAATGGGTGCAGTGGGTGGGTGGGTAGTGAGGAAGCATGGGGAGCACAGGAACACTGCCTGAATGTCCTGCATCTGATAGCCCCTGGACGGTAGGTGCCCTGGGAACTGTGCGTTGGCCCAGCCCTCCTGTGGTGGGTGGGAGATGGGATATGTGCAGTGAGTGGGTAGTGAGGGAAGCATGGAGAGCACAGAAACCCGGCTTGAATGTCCTGTAGGGACACAGGACACAGGAAGCATCTCGTATTTTTTGAGAATTCTCAAAAAACACTCCCTGTAGGGACACAGGACACAGGAAGCATCTCGTATTCCTTGAAGGGTAGGTGCACCCAAAACTGTGCATTAGCCCAACCTTCCTGTTTCAAGGTAGAGGCGGAGGGGAAGGAGGGAAGAGGGAACTTCAATGTATTGACTGCAATTGAAGAATGGGCACTGGAGAAATTGCCTTGCCTGGCAACGGGAGAACAAGAGACATGAATTTCACTTGACAAGAAAACGCAAGCTTGCCTTGAAGACGGGAGAGTGAGGGAGGCGCGAGTGAGTGAGAGGTGCATGCATAGTGTGCTGTGCACATGATGATTGGCAGGTGGGAAGACACAAATCTTGCCTTGAAGACGCGATTGAAGTGGTCGTCCAGGCTGAAGTGAGAGAAGGGCAAGTGAGGGATGCGCGAGTGAGGGAGAGGTGCATGCATACATCGTGTGCCGTGCACATACGGCAGGTGGGAAGACTCGGATCTTGCCTTGAAGACGCGGTTGAAATGGTCATCAAGGCTGAAGTGAGAGAAGGGCGCGTTCACGTTGACTGCCATGTATGCCGCTATCTCACGCTGTAGTAATGGGGATGACAGGGGTGGGATGGGGGGGAAGAGAGGACAGCGGGTGTAAGAGTAGGATGAATTCACGTTCACTGCCATATATGCTGCTATGATGAGACTTTGAGGCCACGCCTCTTTGGGCATGGAGATACAAGGAGCTTTTGGTGCGATGCAAGTACTTGAAGAATGGCACGAGCTTGTGCAAAAATAAAGAAAGAAAACGTTAACAAACATCAACATTTCCAATATTGGTAGACAGCGTGGAAGCCACCTGGAAGCAACCAGGAACCTTCTCAATGCACCTGGTAGAAAGCGAGGTACTGGAACCGCTCATCTCCAGACGTTTGCAGCGAGAGAATGCTGTCGTAGAGCCTCACCTAAAGGGTGGAAGAAAGGGGGGGGGGGGGGGGGGGGGGGGGGGGGAGGGGGTTGGGTGAGGGGTGATTGGCCGATTGGGAGGGAGGTGAGAGGATTGTTGTTTTGATTCGGAGGGAAGGCGAGGTGCTGAAACCTCTCATCTCCAGACGGTTGCAGAAAGAGAATGCTGTCGTAGAGCCTCACCTGAGCAGGGGGGAGGATGATAGTCAACGAAAGTCAACGCGAGTCAACTCATGGCCTGTGAGAAGACCCGCGTGGCATGGATGCAGGAGGCCTCAAATCAAAGTAGGAGACTTGGAGGCGTCGACTGCAGTCAACGAAAGTCAACGCAGGTCAACTCACAGCCTGGGAAAAATCCCCCGTGGCATGGAAGCAGGAGGCCTCAAAGTATCGCAACTCCACGTTGTTTGGGTGGTGTTTCAGCCCCTCCTGCAGCAGGCGGATCACCCCCCTGCCATGGTGGGAGAGGAAGAGAGAGACAAGATGCATGGTGGTGGGTGGGTGGTGGTAGCCACAATACAAGTGTAGCTCCACGTTGCTTGGGTGATGTTTCAGCCCCTCCTGCAGCAGCTGAATCACCCCTCTGAAGGGGACAGGAAGAGAGGAGGAAACACTTTCAGGAAGGTCATTGTTTCAGCCCCTCCTGCAGCAGCTGAATCACCCCACTGTCGCGGTGGGAGCAAGGAAATGGGGAAGGGAAACTACTTAATATTGCAGTTACGGAACCCTAGGGACAGCAAGAGGGACACAATTCAGATTTATTACGGATGGGATGGGACAGTTAAGCCTCTGCTCAAGGATTCATGCACATGCCATTCCGTGCCATGCCGTGCCGTGCCATGCCGTGCCATGCCGTGCCGTGCCATGCCGTGCCATGCCATGCCATGCCATGCCAGTGCCCATCACCACCTGTCTGCCTGCCGTCGTCCCTCACTCACCTATGGACGCCCACGGCGTGCCTCAGAGGTTGAGGCGTCGCAAAACCCGAAACGCCTTTGAGACGTCTCATAGCAGTGGCCTGGCCATCGCTACCTGTCTGTCTGTCTGCGTGCCGCCTCGCTCACCTGTGGTCGCCCACGGCGTGCCTCAGAGGTTGAGGCGTCGCAAAACCCGAAACGCCTTTGAGACGTCTCATAGCAGTGGCCTGGCCATCGCTACCTGTCTGTCTGTCTGCGTGCCGCCTCTCTCACCTGTGGTCGCCCACGGCGTGCCTCAGAGGTTGAGGCGTCGCAAAACCCGAAACGCCTTTGAGACGTCTCATAGCAGTGGCCTGGCCATCGCTACCTGTCTGTCTGTCTGCGTGCCGCCTTCCTCACCTGTGGTCGCCCACGGCGTGCCTCAGAGGTTGAGGCGTCGCAAAACCCGAAACGCCTTTGAGACGTCTCATAGCAGTGGCCTGGCCATCACTACCTGTCTGTCTGTCTGCGTGCCGCCTTCCTCACCTGTGGTCGCCCACGGCGTGCCTCAGAGGTTGAGGCGTCGCAAAACCCGAAACGCCTTTGAGACGTCTCATAGCAGTGGCCTGGCCATCGCTACCTGTCTGTCTGTCTGCGTGCCGCCTTCCTCACCTGTGGTCGCCCACGGCGTGCCTCAGAGGTTGAGGCGTCGCAAAACCCGAAACGCCTTTGAGACGTCTCATAGCAGTGGCCTGGCCATCGCTACCTGTCTGTCTGTCTGCGTGCCGCCTCGCTCACCTGTGGTCGCCCACGGCGTGCCTCAGAGGTTGAGGCGTCGCAAAACCCGAAACTCACCAGTGGTTGCAGAGCTTGTACGCCAGCAGCAAGTGTATGGTTCTCCTCTCAACCCAATCCATGCACATGCCACGCACGTGCCAGGCACTTGCCAGTGCCCATAGCAGCTACCTGTCTGTCTGTCTGCGTGCCGCCTCGCTCACCTGTGGTCGCCCACGGTGTGCCTCAGCTTCGCCCACAGCTTGTACGCCAGCAGGAAGCTGTAGTGATGGGCAGGCACGGGGAGTGTGGCATGGGGGCATATGGGGAATGGGATGGGGAACGATTTTGGTTAAAATATTACAGCGCATCAGATATGGGTATTATAAGGGCCACAAATGTAGGATATGCACATGTCCCGAGTTAGCCCATCCCGATTGTCCCCCATATAAGCTGCTCCACAGTCCACTCACTCACCCACTATCCACCCCCAGAGCGCGCTTATAGCATCGCTCCGACTCGTTGAACATGGCGATTTCCTTCATTGTCTGCCCCCAGTTCGTCCACCCCTCATCATTCCCATGCAGCACCCCCCAACTCATCTATCCCCCATATACGCTGCTCCAACCACTCACCCCTTATCCACATCAAGGGCACGTTTATAGCATCTCTCTGACTCGTTGAACATGGCGATCTCCTTCATTGTCTGCCCCCAGTTCGTCCACCCCTCCTTTACATCTGGATTCATGGCCATTGCTGTCTCATAGCTCTTCACTGCTTCAAACGGTGCCCCTGTTGCTGTCAGCGCCAAACCCTGGAGGCAAGGGGAAGGAGAAGGGATGCGGGGGAGTTGAGAGCGGAGAGATGAGACATGGGTAATTTGTTATAGGGGCCTGCTGCACCCCTTTCATTCTGGATTTATTGCCATGGCTGTCTCGTAGCTCGTCACTGCTTCAAACTGCGCCCCTGTTGCTGTCAGTGCCAGATTCTGGAGGCAAGGGGAAGGGACACGAGAGTAGTTTGAAGGCTTGTCTTTGACAATGAGTTGAGCATACAGGAGGAGATGAGGGACTTGGCAATTCAAAGGATAAAATTTTGAGGAAGAGGTGCGGCTTGAAGAGCCGAGGGCTTAGTTATTCATGGTTCAGGGTTTTCAGGTTTGGGTTCAGGCTCAGGCTCCCTTGTTGTCATATGGGGTTTGCAGAGCCAAAGGCTCAGCTTTTCGGGGGTTTGGGCTTGAAGGTTTGGGTTTAGGCTTCTCCCTTGCCCCATAAAGCTTAGGAGGAAAAGACGGGGTTTGGAAGAGCTGGGGGGGGGGGGACCACGACCCTGTTGAGGCGCCTAAAAAACCGCGGGTAGAGAGACGACTTTGAGGCGCCTCAATAGGACTTACGAGGAAGAGGTGCGGCTTGAAGAGCTGCGGAGCCATGGCCCTGGCAGCATAGAGGTCCAGCAGCGCGCTTGAATAGGCGTTGGCGTTCACATATGCCGCTCCTGGTTGGTGGGGGAGGGGAAGAGGTCAGAACAGAAAGGCGGTTATTATAGGGCGCATCCTTAGTATGCCTACCCAACGTGCCTGGCAGGCAGCGTAGAGGCCCGGCAGCGTGCTTGAATAGGCGTTGGCGTTCACGTATGCCGCTCCTGGTTGGTGGGGGGGGACAAGGGTGGAGACAGGAGGTTAACATGGGATAGGTTGGGTGGGCATACTTGGTATGTTGACCCAACCTGGCAGCATAGAGATCAGGCAGTGCGCTCGCATAGGCATTGGCATTCACGTATGCCGCTCCTGGTTGGTGGGGGAGGGGAAGAGGTCAGAAAGGAGGTTATTATAGGGCGCATTCTTTGTATGCCAACCCAACCTGCCTGGCAGGCAGCATAGACATCCGGCAGCGCGTTTGAATAGGCGTTGGCATTCACGCATGCCGCTACTGGTTTGTGGGGGAGGGGAAGAAAGGGGATAAGAGCAGAAAGGAGGTTATTATCGAGCGCATTCTTTGTATGCCAACCCAACCTGCCTGGCAGGCAGCATAGACATCCGGCAGCGCGTTTGAATAGGCGTTGGCATTCACGCATGCCGCTACTGGTTTGTGGGGGAGGGGAAGAAAGGGGATAAGAGCAGAAAGGAGGTTATTATCGAGCGCATTCTTTGTATGCCAACCCAACCTGCCTGGCAGGCAGCATAGACATCCGGCAGCGCGTTTGAATAGGCGTTGGCATTCACGTATGCCGCTACTGGTTTGTGGGGGAGGGGAAGAAGGGGGATAAGAGCAGAAAGGAGGTTATTATGGGGCGCATTCTCTTCTTGGTATGTTGACCCAACCTGGCAGCATAGAGGTCGGGCAGCGCACTCGCATAGGCATTGGCGCTCACATATGCCGCTCCTGCGAGAGGAGGAGCGGCGGAAGGGGTGGGAATGGAAGGGAAGTTACTAGGCTAGCATAGCATGGTATGGGTTGGGTCGGCATTCTCGGTATGCTGACTCAACCCGGTAGCATAGAGTCTGGCAGTCCTCTCTCATAGGCTTTGGCGTTCACGTATGCGGCTCCTGCAGAGAAAGGGGGAAGGAGGCTGGGTGAGAGCAGAAGGAAGGTCAGCAAGGTATGAGTTAGTTTGGCATTCATGCTACGCTATGCCGACCCAACCTGGCCGCATAAGGTCTGGCAGCGCACTCGCAGAGGCGTTGGCGTTCGTTTTGAGGCGCCTCAAAACTAGACTCGCAGGGGCGTTGGCGTTCGTTCACATACGACGCTCCTGCGTGGGGGGAGAGGGAGAGGGCGAGGGAGGAAGGGGCGGGGGAAGGAGGGGCGGGGAAAGAGGGGGCAGGGAAAGAGGGTGAAAACAGAAGAAAGCATGAGATTCTTTCAGGTTGGGTTGAAATACACGATTCAATCGCCAACCCCCTGGAGAGACGCTTTAATGTCTACTGTCGCCTTGGCATCGGTAAACTCTCTAGTGTCACGTCCCTATGCTCACCTCTCTCTCCCTACCCTGTTCTCACCTCGTTCCTGTCTGGCTGCTGCATCATTCGGATCCATTTCAATCACAGCCGTCCAATCAGCGATGGCCTGCAGGATTGGGGGTTGGGTGGTTGAAGAATAGTCAAAACTCAATCAGCAATGGCGCGCAGAATGGTGAGTGTGCATATGGCCACGAGAGAAAAGAATGTGGGGTGGGTGGGGTTGTAACTTGTAGTTGATAACTTATACCTCTAATGCAAGGTAGAAGAGTTGTTTGTTCCTTGCATTGAACACACAAAAAAAAATGTATCTCCCGGCCACATACACGGCAATTACAACGCACGAGAACCAGGCTTCAGCACATATACACGCCCCACCACACACATACCTCCTTGTGACTTCTGAGAATTCTCAAAAGTCACTCCAATATAGCTGGCCTACAAATCCCTCTGGTTCTGGTGTGTTGGAAGTTACCTGCACGAGAACCAGGCTTCAGCACATATACACGCCCCACCACACACATACCTCCTTGTGTCGGCCCACCACACACATACCTCCTTGTGTCGGCCCACCACACACATACCTCCTTGTGTCGGCCCACCACACACATACCTCCTTGTGTCGGCCCACCACACACATACCTCCTTGTGTCGGCCCACCACACACATACCTCCTTGTGTCGGCCCACCACACACATACCTCCTTGTGTCGGCCCACCACACACATACCTCCTTGTGTCGCCCCACCACACACATACCTCCTTGTGTCGGCCCACCACACACATGCCTCCTTGTGTCGGCCCACCACACACATACCTCCTTGTGTCGCCCCACCACACACATACCTCCTTGTGTCGCCCCACCACACACATACCTCCTTGTGTCAGCCCACCACACACATACCTCCTTGTGTCGCCCCACCACACACATACCTCCTTGTGTCGGCCCACCACACACATACCTCCTTGTGTCGCCCCACCACACACATACCTCCTTGTGTCGGCCCACCACACACATACCTCCTTGTGTCGGCCCACCACACACATACCTCCTTGTGTCGGCCCACCACACACATACCTCCTTGTGTCGGCCCACCACACACATACCTCCTTGTGTCGCCCCACCACACACATACCTCCTTGTGTCGCCCCACCACACACATACCTCCTTGTGTCGGCCCACCACACACATACCTCCTTGTGTCGGCCCACCACACACATACCTCCTTGTGTCGGCCCACCACACACATACCTCCTTGTGTCGGCCCACCACACACATACCTCCTTGTGTCGCCCCACCACACACATACCTCCTTGTGTCGGCCCACCACACACATACCTCCTTGTGTCGGCCCACCACACACATACCTCCTTGTGTCGCCCCACCACACACATACCTCCTTGTGTCGCCCCACCACACACATACCTCCTTGTGTCAGCCCACCACACACATACCTCCTTGTGTCGCCCCACCACACACATACCTCCTTGTGTCGGCCCACCACACACATACCTCCTTGTGTCGCCCCACCACACACATACCTCCTTGTGTCGGCCCACCACACACATACCTCCTTGTGTCGGCCCACCACACACATACCTCCTTGTGTCGGCCCACCACACACATACCTCCTTGTGTCGGCCCACCACACACATACCTCCTTGTGTCGGCCCACCACACACATACCTCCTTGTGTCGGCCCACCACACACATACCTCCTTGTGTCGCCCCACCACACACATACCTCCTTGTGTCGCCCCACCACACACATACCTCCTTGTGTCGCCCCACCACACACATACCTCCTTGTGTCGCCCCACCACACACATACCTCCTTGTGTCGCCCCACCACACACATACCTCCTTGTGTCGGCCCACCACACACATACCTCCTTGTGTCGGCCCACCACACACATACCTCCTTGTGTCGGCCCACCACACACATACCTCCTTGTGTCGGCCCACCACACACATACCTCCTTGTGTCGCCCCACCACACACATACCTCCTTGTGTCGGCCCACCACACACATACCTCCTTGTGTCGGCCCACCACACACATACCTCCTTGTGTCGCCCCACCACAACTGGCATACCTCCTTGTGTCGCCCCACCACACACATACCTCCTTGTGTCGCCCCACCACACACATACCTCCTTGTGTCGCCCCACCACACACATACCTCCTTGTGTCGGCCCACCACACACATACCTCCTTGTGTCGGCCCACCACACACATACCTCCTTGTGTCGCCCCACCACACACATACCTCCTTGTGTCGGCCCACCACACACATACCTCCTTGTGTCGCCCCACCACACACATACCTCCTTGTGTCGGCCCACCACACACATACCTCCTTGTGTCAGCCCACCACACACATACCTCCTTGTGTCGCCCCACCACACACATACCTCCTTGTGTCGGCCCACCACACACATACCTCCTTGTGTCGCCCCACCACACACATACCTCCTTGTGTCGGCCCACCACACACATACCTCCTTGTGTCGGCCCACCACACACATACCTCCTTGTGTCGGCCCACCACACACATACCTCCTTGTGTCGGCCCACCACACACATACCTCCTTGTGTCGCCCCACCACACACATACCTCCTTGTGTCGCCCCACCACACACATACCTCCTTGTGTCGGCCCACCACACACATACCTCCTTGTGTCGGCCCACCACACACATACCTCCTTGTGTCGCCCCACCACACACATACCTCCTTGTGTCGGCCCACCACACACATACCTCCTTGTGTCGGCCCACCACACACATACCTCCTTGTGTCGGCCCACCACACACATACCTCCTTGTGTCGCCCCACCACACACATACCTCCTTGTGTCGGCCCACCACACACATACCTCCTTGTGTCGCCCCACCACAACTGGCATACCTCCTTGTGTCGCCCCACCACACACATACCTCCTTGTGTCGCCCCACCACACACATACCTCCTTGTGTCGCCCCACCACACACATACCTCCTTGTGTCGGCCCACCACACACATACCTCCTTGTGTCGGCCCACCACACACATACCTCCTTGTGTCGCCCCACCACACACATACCTCCTTGTGTCGGCCCACCACACACATACCTCCTTGTGTCGCCCCACCACACACATACCTCCTTGTGTCGGCCCACCACACACATACCTCCTTGTGTCAGCCCACCACACACATACCTCCTTGTGTCGCCCCACCACACACATACCTCCTTGTGTCGGCCCACCACACACATACCTCCTTGTGTCGCCCCACCACACACATACCTCCTTGTGTCGGCCCACCACACACATACCTCCTTGTGTCGGCCCACCACACACATACCTCCTTGTGTCGGCCCACCACACACATACCTCCTTGTGTCGCCCCACCACAACTGGCATACCTCCTTGTGTCGCCCCACCACACACATACCTCCTTGTGTCGCCCCACCACACACATACCTCCTTGTGTCGCCCCACCACACACATACCTCCTTGTGTCGGCCCACCACACACATACCTCCTTGTGTCGGCCCACCACACACATACCTCCTTGTGTCGCCCCACCACACACATACCTCCTTGTGTCGGCCCACCACACACATACCTCCTTGTGTCGCCCCACCACACACATACCTCCTTGTGTCGGCCCACCACACACATACCTCCTTGTGTCAGCCCACCACACACATACCTCCTTGTGTCGCCCCACCACACACATACCTCCTTGTGTCGGCCCACCACACACATACCTCCTTGTGTCGCCCCACCACACACATACCTCCTTGTGTCGGCCCACCACACACATACCTCCTTGTGTCGGCCCACCACACACATACCTCCTTGTGTCGGCCCACCACACACATACCTCCTTGTGTCGGCCCACCACACACATACCTCCTTGTGTCGCCCCACCACACACATACCTCCTTGTGTCGCCCCACCACACACATACCTCCTTGTGTCGGCCCACCACACACATACCTCCTTGTGTCGGCCCACCACACACATACCTCCTTGTGTCGCCCCACCACACACATACCTCCTTGTGTCGCCCCACCACACACATACCTCCTTGTGTCGCCCCACCACACACATACCTCCTTGTGTCGCCCCACCACACACATACCTCCTTGTGTCGCCCCACCACACACATACCTCCTTGTGTCGCCCCACCACACACATACCTCCTTGTGTCGCCCCACCACACACATACCTCCTTGTGTCGGCCCACCACACACATACCTCCTTGTGTCGCCCCACCACACACATACCTCCTTGTGTCGGCCCACCACACACATACCTCCTTGTGTCGGCCCACCACACACATACCTCCTTGTGTCGGCCCACCACACACATACCTCCTTGTGTCGCCCCACCACAACTGGCATACCTCCTTGTGTCGCCCCACCACACACATACCTCCTTGTGTCGCCCCACCACACACATACCTCCTTGTGTCGCCCCACCACACACATACCTCCTTGTGTCGCCCCACCACACACATACCTCCTTGTGTCGCCCCACCACACACATACCTCCTTGTGTCGCCCCACCACACACATACCTCCTTGTGTCGGCCCACCACACACATACCTCCTTGTGTCGCCCCACCACACACATACCTCCTTGTGTCGGCCCACCACACACATACCTCCTTGTG